CCCACTATGGGTGTGTCTGATTCAATGTCACTCCCACTATGGGTGTGTCTGATTCAGTGAGACTCATGCTACGGACAGCAAGTTGAAGAGAAGCTGTGTGTACCATGTGTGCACTGAAGTTATTGGAAAGTAACTGTACTGAAATACTGAAGTGGGGGTATTTCTGACACTCATGGCTGACCAAAGAGACAAGTAAGATTAAAAATCTAAACAAGCAGATCAATTACATAATACTACAGGCATCAAGATCTTGGGTGCTATCTGCATGGAGTTTGTGTACTCACATGGGTCTCCTCTGGGTGCTCCGGTTTCCACCCACAGTCTGAAGACATACTGGCAGGCTTCTGGGAAGAATGGCCCTGGGGTGAGTGTGTGCGCGTCTGTGTTTGTGTGTCTGTCTGCCGTGTGATGGACTGGTGTACCAGTCAGGGTGTACCTTGTGCTTGTTGGGATAGGCTCCAGCTCCCCTGAGACCCAGAATGGAATGAATCGGTCAGGAAATTGATGGATTTCGTACTATCCCCATATTTTATCAGACAGATATAATACTATATATTACTGCAATAGTGTCAGATGGATATAATACCACATTTTAATGCTATCATATGTCATACAGATATAGTACTACAGTATATTACTGCTACAATGTGTCAGACAGATATAACACTATACATTACTGCCACGGTGTGCCAGACTGACACAGCACAGACCTGTGCATCACTGAGACTGATGTGCCAAGGGACCACAGAAGCATTGTGTAATCTGGGGAGTCTTGGGGGTGACACTGCTCTCAAAAAACCCTACCCGTAAGATTTACATGGGGGTATGTGGGAGGGGGCTTTAAGATGGGATGGACAGATCCAGGCCATCATTTTTAAGAGGGACTGGCAGTGTGGTAGCTGAGTCAACACAGAGCAAAAACAGAACTAGAATGCCTGTCACAACCAGCGTGGGAGAAGGATTTTGGAAAAGGGGGCTGCTGTGATGCAGTGAACTAGATTCTGTTGACCTCTCGTCCCCCCTATTCCTGATCATTCAGAAGGGCCCAGCTGCCTGTAAGACATGCTGACACGAGATACCGCGGACCCCCGTTTCCTTGAGGGATATGGCTTGTGTTGATGACTTCCAACATCATCTGCCCCTCTGTTAGTATTCTTCGGGGGAGGAAGCGACATCTCTCGGGCTGGCTTTCATCGCAAAGCCGTCTCTGCGCTGCCCAGTTCGACGCCCGCCATCCTGGAATCGTTGTGCGGCTCTCCCTGCGCCCTCGGAGAACCACGCTCGTCTGTAGAAAGAAATTCATCACGCTTCCTTTAATAAGGCATAGACGACAGCCTGGTAAGGACTCAGCAGGAGTGCTGCCCATTTAACGACGCCGCGCTTTACTCCAGTGATCAGAAGGATATTTATTCATCATTGCAATTTGAAGGATTCCTCCACAACCGTCCGTCATAAACCTGCCCCCCCCCACCGCGAGAGGCAATTTCAAGGCCGCGCCGGCACAAATCAGGTGCAATCTGAGAGGACCAGGGACGAGGCAACAAGCAATCAGGGAGACCGACACATCTTATAAAGTGTAATTGCAGGCGGCGGAGAAGGACAGGAACGCTCATTAATACCGGGGGGTGCAGACGCCCCCCTTTCCCATTAGCTTTTATGCGAGATCACATTCCACCTGCGCAAATGTACCCTCCACAGGAATACAGCGCTCCCTTCATTACAGATCCCATACAGGCAAATTACAGGAATCAGCCGCTCCTAGCGTCTCACCTGATTGAGGGACGCAGAAAGAGTATTCATCGTCTGCGATTGTTTAAATAACAATAACCATCCCTCCAGCATTGGCAAGCCTCCGATTCCTGGGAAGGCAAAACATTTGACGGAGCTATAGACCATACAAACCCCTGCCTGCTTGCAGTGTAAGTACAGGCCCACATTTATCTCTCAGGAACACAGACAGTGAGTTAAACATTTTTCTTGTTAGAAGTGGGTCTTCTCACCACTTTTTTCTCATTCAGGGCTGCGGTGGAGCCAGAGCCTATCTCGGCAAGCGACTGGCACACAGCGTGCCAGTCCATTGCAGGGCAAACACAAACACTCACCCCAGGGCCAGTCTTCCCAGAAGCCCATTAACCCACCAGCATGTCTTTGGACCATGGGAGGAAATCGGAGCACCCAGAGGAAACATGCAAGCTCCACACACATACAGTAGTACCCAAGAAATTGAACCCAGGGCCCCAGCCCTGCGAGGCACCAATTGCTAAATACCGTCCTACCATGCCACTCTGGCTAAAACAGAGATATTTTTTGCTTCGACCACAGCCAGTTACGCATAAACCAGAATCCACTGCAGCTCACAGCTTGCGTTCCCGTGGAGCTCTGGGAGTAAACATGCAGCACTCCCATAGAGACCAGGGAGGAAATGATGCAACGCTGACAGAGCGATGATCAGGAATTCTCTACAGCAGCACCATGGGCAGTGAATTACAGTCAGGTGATGTTCATCCAACCTACAGAGGACATTTTACTAAAAATATAACAGAGTGACAAATTAAGTGGTATATCATGTCAGAGGACTCTACAAAGACCTGTAGATGACTTTGAGGAGCGTGAGGCTTGTGGGATGAATTTCAAATGTAAGAGTAAGCTATTTTATCATGGTGCTGCATGCATGTGATGTCATGGAAAGAGGAGGTACGTAGGTCCATTTTCGGGGTATAAAGGCTCATGGGGGGCGAGGGCCACCATTTTCTTAACCATCCGACACTGGAGGTGGAGGCGATGTGGTCAGCATCATGCTCCAGCCAGCCTATTACCCCTGGTACTCAATTAAAAAGCAGGCTGAGTGGACCTGGGAGACATCTGGAAGGAATTCGAGCAAGCTACATCACTTGCTCCTACCTGGGATCAAACCCGGGACCATCCAGTCAGGAGCCAGACGCCCTTGCCGTCTGAGCTACCACGGCTCCTCTGGAAAGAGGAGGGAGGACCCTAAAATGTTTGCACTGGGGCCGCAGGATCGCCAGGTTCCACCACTAGTGGCAACGCGCCTATTCCAGAGAGCAAGAGTAGGGCACAAGTCAGGAATACACCCTGGACAGCATATCAGTCAAAAACTGTTCACTACTAAAATTGAACGAAACGTGTTTCCACTCATGGTGCACATATCAGCCCGTCAGAGCAAGCATCTGCATCAGGCCATGCGCAGGTTCCCAGATTCTGTTCTCTCTGTATTGGCGTTTTGCCCCAGCTGCCCCAACTCGTTGTCAAGACAGCCCCTTCTTTCACCGCAGGGCTGCGCACACACTGTACATGAGGAGGACTGATGCCAGTTAAGAGCACTTGGGGAAAGAAGAACTGCTGTTGGTTTCTTCTTAAAATTTCACTGTGGAGGTCAAAAAGCTCTACAGGAAGTACAGTATATCTTGGAGACAGATTCACCGGCGGATCCTCCTAGGGATTTCTCTAGGAAATACAGGAGCCGGGGCAGTGCCAGTGGCACTGGGTGCTACTGTATTTTCAGGAAGCTGGGAGCTCTGAGGGGAGATGTGGAGAAGCAGGGAGCCGTACAAACTAACTAAATAGCAAACTAATTGAATTCAGCTCCAGTAGAGAGCGTGGAGGCTGATTAGGCTTGGGGTGTGGGGCCGCAGATCCAGAGAGATAAGAGTGCTCTGCTCTCTTTCATCTCCCCGAGTGGATGAGGCCACGTGACCCTCTCCTTTCCGTTCTCTCAGCAAACAGGACACCCGATGGCATAATTAGGTCAATTTAACCCTGCCGAGATCCCATTTTAACAAAGCCTCGATTTTTTTGTTCAAGAGCTGCACCATTAAACCTTTTGACGTTGAACACGACAGGGCAATTACATTAAACACAGACACACTTACCTGGTTTAGGCCATCTGCTAAGCAAATAAAAATGTTCCACCCAGGAAAGACTCCTGCGTGCAGCAGCGAGATGAACTATTTGGTAGTCTGTGTGTACAGCTGCCGAAGGTTTTTTTAAATATTTATACATCTTCGTGTATAGCGCCTTTAAAACAGGTCGCTCCTGACGCAGAGAAAAAAGAGCAGCTCCAACAAACCACAAAGTGGAGCAGACGCAAACACATCAACACCTGATACAGCTCGGCCCAGAGCACAACGCAGGGCCAGACGCAGATGCTCACAGGGAAGGCTGGCGTCAACACTGTGAGCACAAAAGCTGTGTGGAGACCCAGGAGTGCTCCGATGGCTGGTTTTTGGGTGGTGGCAGTGAGGAGGCACACAGAGAGGTGGGGTTACTGTACCCACACACACAGT